GGTCTCATTTTGAGCCATTTTGTGCTAGCTCCGGGATTTTGGTGTTGGGGTCTCTTCACCACTTTTGAGATTTATTACTTCAGTGGTGAAGAGACCCCAACACCAAAATCCCGGAGCTAGCACAAAATGGCCTAAAATGAGGCCTTTCAAGGCCTAAGGGGGGGTCAACCACCCTCAAACAACAAAACACTCTTAATAAACAATAAAGAGGGCCTAAAAAAAGAACTTTTTTATGTTATACAATAAGCACAAAAACAGCTCTAAGATAGGTATAAAATCAATGCGAAAATGGGAGAAAATGGGACTAGATTCTCACCCTTGATGACCCCTTCACAAATGGTGCTCCAATGGCCTCCCTTGGCTCCAAACTAGTCAAGAACCTCAAGAACAAGCCCTTAGAACCCTAGTTTCAAGAGGAAGGTGAAACACTAGGTGCTTGTGTGCAATAGTATGGACTAAAACACACACAAGAGTAAATATAGAGATAGGATGTGTATGCAACTCAAACCCTAAAACCAGAGCTTCTCTCTGTGTTTTTCCCTCTCTAAAATGTCTAAAGTCTCCAACCTCAGCAACAAGAGAGAGCCTCTCTCTATATATGCAACCAAACTTGCAAAACTTACAAGTTAAGTCAAACTAGAGGGCCATCCCTCCATACACGTGTATGGAGGGAAAGTCACTGCAATACAGCTGCCTAAAAATATCTCAAAAAGCAACTGCACAGTAACCGGTCGGCCAAAAATTCCATCTTGGCCAAAAAGAGTGCCGACCGGCACAAAATAGTGCTGACCGGCAACAAAAGGTGCCGGCCGGCAAACTACATTGCCGGTGGCAGCAAACACCAGCCGGTGGCCTCTAGCCACTGCCGGTGGTGGGTAGGGATGGTCTACAAGCCCTACCCTGCCTCTCAAAGGCAAGATGCAAGTGTTTGGTGCAAAACCAGACACTAAACGGTCGAGTTCGGGGATCCTGAGGCAAGGCGCGCCAGCCAAGGCCTCCGGGAACTCCAAGCAAACACAATCATGGAAGATCACCGTGTGTTCAAACGGTGACGTCCAAGTCTTGAGGACGGTCAAAAATGGGGTGTCTACATCCGCCATCGAAGCTATACAACATGACTTCGCCATGGCCGTTTTTAGTCCGGGGGATTGATGTGATCGGGGCTGTCACTCCGAGGGGGTCCAATGGGCATGAGTTCATTCTGGTCGTGATAGACTATTTTACGAAGTGGGTTGAGGCCCAATCTTATGCAGTGTTGAAGACGTCACACGTTGCTAAGTTCATCAGGAACAACATCATCTGTCGCTACGGGGTCCTGAACGAGATTATTTCAGATAATGGTTCCCACTTCAAGAAGGAGGTGATCGACTTGTTGGACAAGTACAACGTGGCTTTTCACAAGTCATCTACATATCGGCCTCAAACCAATGGAGCAGTTGAGGCCGCCAACAAGAATATCAAGCACATTCAGCAAAAGATGGTGGAAACCTACCGGGCCTGGCCAGATAAGTTGCCATTTGCTCTGTGGGGTTACCGGACTTCAATTCAAACTTCCACTGGGGCAACTTCGTATTTCTTGGTTTATGGGATGGAGGCTGTTCTACCTATCGAAGTTGAGGTTCCGTCATTACAAGTACTGGCCGAGTGTCAGATAGCTGAGGCAGATTGGCAGCAGAGCAGGTTTGAAGAACTCATGTTGTTTGACGAGAGAAGGCTGAAAGCACTGTACCATGTTCAGGGTTATCAACAAAGAATTGCCAAGGCTTTCAACAAGAAGGTTAAGTCTTGGAATTTGAAAGAAGGAGATTTGGGGCTCAAAGACAACTGAGCTCCCATCCACGACCCTAGGGGCAAGTTCAGACCCAACTGGACTGGTCCTTACCTTATCAAGTCTATCTGGTCGGGTGGAGCTGTCGTTCTGATGGACTTAGATGGCCTAGAATTCTCCCAACCGATCAACATGGACAAGTTGAAGAAATACTTCCCTGAGTGGCTCACTAGGCCGAAAACCCGAAAGGGCGACCTAGGCAAAAGTTAGAGCATGAAAATTTTGAAATTATAAAAACTGAGCTCGCAAAGTTGAAAACCCAGAAAGGGCGACCTTGGCAAAAGTTAGAGCGCAAAAGGAGAGAGTTAATACATGAGCGAACTCGAGCTGAACTACGTAAGGCTTGATTCCCATCTTTGGGATACGTAGGCAACTTCATTCTGAAGTCCAGCCATAAACACTTCCCCAATCAACTTTGTCTGTGTGATCATGTTTGGTCATCCTTGTCGATTCTGCATTCAAGAGCTCGGTTGTGATCTCCAGTGCAGTGCTATTTAGACTAGGTTCAACTTTTCAGTTGCTGGATCTGGGGTTGTACATCGCAGTGATAGATCTCAGGCGTGTCCAGTTGTGATCCATATCGAAAATGGTTTTGAAAAGTTTTAATAAAAGTTGATTTTGCTCAAATTAATATTTTTACAACTTAGACCATTTTCGGACCAAACGAAAAATTTTCAGTACCCACAACCTTCAATTACATTGATTTCAATACAGAGTTCTCCTGCTCTTGAATACAAATTGAAGTTTCTTTTTATTGCATTCATAAAGAAAATTTGAAAGTACTGATTAAAGCAAATAAATTCGGGGCATAGTCAGGTGTTCCTGCGTCCCCTCCCAGAGCTTGTGGAAGCCTCTGATGCCAAAGTGTGCCCGATCTGCGCCTCCTCATCAAGCCAAGCTATGCACTCATCAGAGAGGGTGCAACTAAAACTGGGAGCGGGGGCTAGAAGCTCTCTCGTCCTCTATGCTGTGGCATACCGGGCTAGCTGTGTGCCTTGGACCAGAAACACAGCAGCGTACTCTATTCCCTCTTCCGGGCAAGTCTGATCATGTCCGAACTGGCACCGGAATCGGAATGGGAAGTAAAAGACACAGTGTGTCAGGCCGATCAACTGAATCCCGGGCTGGCAGGTCATGTTGTAGCTCATCGCCGGTAAATTGAGCCAAGGGTAGCGCCAAGCAATGTCGAGAGCAGACAAACTGCACGTCCAGTTGCACCACCATCCCTCATCAGGGGCATCGACTAGACGTCACCGGAAGAAATAGCTGCCAGCTGAATATGCCGGGCATGAGTCCACCACGCTCAACTTGTCCATCAACCATATCTGGGGAGGGATGAAAAATGAGAGATTAAAGAATAGAGAGGTGTACGTTAAGAGAAAAAGTGAGAAAAAGGTTTTGAAAAAAAAAAAAAACGAGCCTGAGGGCCGAGTGATGTGAGAAATATGTGTGAGATGGGGTGGGAAACATTACCTACAGTAGTAGTGGACTCCCCGCGAATCTAGTTGCTTCCCGGTGATGAAAAGCGTCTAAACCCATCAATGTCTCGACCAGTGTCATGGTGATGCAGCTTTTGCCCTCTTTTAAGCCCTCGGTGACTTCAATCAAACGAGTACTAAACCCACTGGAGCCTGGGGCAAGCAAGAAATGAGACAACATGCACAAGCAAAGCGCATGTCACCGATGACCTTGCCAATGATGATCGCCGCGGTCACCGGCATTAGAAAATCGACAAATCAAGCTCGGAATGTCCAGCTCTCCATCGTGAATCAATGACCGAGCGTCATGCAAAATAAGCCCATGCATCCGTCCTAAGGCTTGGACATAGCCGAAGCGGAATTGAGGCAAGATTTCTTCATCGCGCTCGGATTCCATTAAATCTTGGAAATCCTCGAAAGTGGGACACATCTCTTGTCCGCCAAAGCTAAAGATGTGTGTTACCAGATTCCAAAACCTTTCCGCGGCATGGAGGAACGAAAAACGCAGTAGAGTGCGACTCAACGTGAATAGTGCATTTATTTCGAAACCCCAAAAATTCAGCTTTTCCGAGCCATCCAAGTTGGCAATCCAATTTGTGAGATTTTGGACAAGAAATGCTTCCATTTGGTGCAAAAACTGAGCTGAAATGGAGAAAACTACAAAGCTGGGGCTTTTGTAGAAGATAAGGTATTGAGTGGAAGACATGTGTCAGCATTCTGGAGGCGCTTGCCATTTTTGGCAGATCGGCCAAAAAGAGTGCCGACCGACCATCTTTTTTGGCCGATCGGCTAGTAATGATGGTTGATGGCCATTTCTTGTGGCCGATGGCCTCTCACTTTGGCCGATGGCCTTTCCTCTTTCTCTCTAGGCTGTCTATATGTTGGAGATGTTGAGAACTTGTGACTGGTTCCACCTCAAATGCCTTCCAGTGATGATTTTACGAAGTCACGCCTGTGTTACTTCAATTTGTTTATCAAGTTGTTATACTTTTGTTTATTGAGTTGTATTTTGTGTTCTTTATTCATTGTCTTGCTTATCGAGTTGTATTTACATTAGGTTAGCTTGTCAAGTTCTTTGTTTTGTTTATCGAGTTGTTTTGTTATCAGTTGGTTCAATACCTGATTAATGCAATTCGAGTGTTTAGTTTTCAAAACAAAGTTCAATCTTATTTACATTGTTATGCGATGCGATGCGATGCTATGCTTAGAATGTACAAATGCAACACTTTTTCAACAAAAACAGTTGTTTCATTCCATCATATTTCCTTTTGTAAAAGTACATAGTTTTGAAGAAAATAAAACCTGCCTGAGGCAGTACAATGTGCAAAACTACCAGTAAAAAGAAAAATAAAGCAAAAAAAAAGAAAAGCAGCAAAATGTCTGGATCGGCACCAGTAGCCTCAAGTGCGGGAGTCCGTCCTGGTCATCTTCCTGGATGAAGGTCTAGGATCTCTACCGTCAGAGTCCGAATCTGAGGCATCCCCAGCCTCATCCTCAGACGACTCTACCTCTGCATCAGACGACTCGTCATCTGGGACAGGTGCCCGTGAGCTACTCCCAGAGTGAGTACGCCCGGCTCTGTTACAGTGATGTACTGAGATCCCTCATCCTGCTCTCCCTGCTCCTCGGGCAGGTACAGATGGTCCTGCTGGAGCACCCCCTGCGACCGGTATCTGGAATGGGGCCTGAAAAGAACAATTGGCAAACGCATCAGTTATGCTATGCAAAGTCGAGTATGAATACCGAATACAGTGTATGCGTACAGTGTATAAATGCTGTGAGCAGTGTATGAATGTTGTGAGTAATGCTATGAGCAGTATGTGAGATACAGTGTATCAGTGCCGTGAGTTGGTATGTGAGTGCAGTATGTCAAGTGCCATATTGATAATGCGTTGTATCATATCAGTATGGAACAGACCATGCGAGGTTTTGGGGCTGAGGTTAGAGGAACTCACCGGAATACCATAGATGTTGAGCAGGTCCATGCTCCTCTGTAGCATCCCCATCACTGAGGCTGACAGCTCTAGAGCCTGTCTGGTGTACTCGATGGAAGCCTACAGAAATGTTGAAATTATTAGTATTCTGCGGGATATCAAATGAAATGAAATGACTGTACAGAGTAAAGAGTATAGCATATACCAGGGTCGAACCGCAAACTCTGACGAGCTCATGATCAGCCGGAGGAGGAGCGATCGGTATCTGATAAGTCTCTCCACCCTGTCCTCAGCATGTCATGGTGGTGGGCAGCTCTAGCCACTCGGCTCCACGTCCCCTCCGGGACCCACTCCTGTCATGGGCCTAAGCCGCCCTCGGTACTCTCGCTCCTCTCACAGGCGCTGCGAGCCTCTCCCTCTCGACTCGACGAGCACTGGCCAGGGGTCGCATGAGATAAGTCTCGATGAAGACGGTGTAGTCGCCCTCATCTCAGAAGAAGTCAGAGTCCCAACTGATAGTGAAGTCGATCATCTCCTCCGGGGTGTACCTCTCTGTATGCCTCATGTGGGTGGGAGGTGGCCTCGGAACTATCTGCTCTAGTAGGCCGAGGGACTGACGCAAGAAGCTCTCACCCAAGTACCAAACCCGGCAAACCGGACCCTCCAGCAAAACCCTGAACCGGGCAGTCTCCCGAGCACCCGCATACTGCTCTCTCACTGCCTCCGGCAACGCGGCCCAGGGCTGCCAAGTGATCTGCAAATGATAAATAGTTTGTTATCTGCTGTTAAAAGTACAATGCAAAGTGAAGCTTAAATAAACTGTAATGTTTGAAATACCTCTGCGGCGGTAATGGTGTCGAAGTATCTGCGGAAGAACAGGAAAGACTCCCGCGGCCTCCGATTGCAGCTCACATCGAATCGTTGAGAATATGGGACAGCAAGGGGCATCTCTACCTCCGGCTCCAATGCAAGCCTAGGAAAGTAAGCATACACCCACAACTACAGAGTGTAACAGGGTAAGAATGAGTATGCTTATCAGTAAGGCAGTATGCAGATAAAGTAGAAACCAGAGAATTGTGTGCGGTGTATTGTGCAGTGTGTGCGGTGTACAGCCAGTGTAAAGCAAATTGTGTGTGTGCAGTGTGTGTGGTGTACAGATAGTGTAAAGTAGAACTGTAAAACAGAAAGGGAAGGTGTACCTCCCAGGCTCGCCAGTAGCCTTCGAGCAGATGTCCGCTGTGGCGGGATGAGGAGCTCATGTATCCATAAAGTCTGGCCAAGCCTGCGCCACCCCAATCATAGCGACGGATCCTGGTCACGTCCACCAATGCACTCAACAGATATAGGGCAACTATGTTCGCCCGATCGGCAAATTAGGTGGTGCCCAGCAAGAACATGATAAATCCTCGAGCGTACTGCTCCACCTCCTCACAGGTCGTATAAAGTAGAAACCAGAGAATTGTGTGCGGTGTATTGTGCAGTGTGTGCGGTGTACAGCCAGTGTAAAGCAAATTGTGTGTGTGCAGTGTGTGTGGTGTACAGATAGTGTAAAGTAGAATTGTAAAACAGAAAGGGAAGGTGTACCTCCCAGGCTCGCCAGTAGCCTTCGAGCAGATGTCCACTGTGGCGGGATGAGGAGCTCATGTATCCATAAAGTCTGGCCAAGCCTGCGCCACCCCAATCATAGTGACGGATCCTGGTCACGTCCACCAATGCACTCAGCAGATATAGGGCAACTATGTTCGCCCGATCGGCAAATAAGGTGGTGCCCAGCAAGAACATGATAACTCCTCGAGCGTACTGCTCCACCTCCTCACAGGTCGTAGGCGCCTGTATCCGAAATTGGTCCTCGAACCAAGAATACCTCACAAACCCTGGCTAGGAGAGAGGTGGCCGAGCGCCAAGCAAGTAGATCTGGGCAGCGTCCCACTCACCCATATCGGTGTCAAACAGAATCGGATCACCCCCTACTCTGATGCTGGTAAGCATGGAGAAGTTGAAAGGAGTCATCGTCATCTCCCTTGCAGCAGAAAGGTGGAAGGAATCAGTGGTGTCCCATCAACTCTCCACCAGTGCACCTAGAAGGGGCCTACTCGCAGTGAGGCGCGAGAGTCCCATGCAGAAAGTGCTGAAGCCGGCTTGATCGATGATATGGCGAACCGTGTCGGGCAACTCCATGTACCATCCTCAGGCAATGGTGTTCCCAGACCCCTGGAAGGCATGGGAATCTCCCTGTGTTCAAAGACAAACAGATGCGAAGTAGTGCCAGAAATACGGTGTTTGAATGCGTTCAGAATCGGTAAAATGCAGTTTGTGCATGTGTTCGAGTTTGCACAGATATCGTGTATGATTGTGCTCAGGGTGAACTAAGCATGTGATGAATCAGTGTGTTTGGGTTATTCAGTTAAAGAACAGAATTGGCTATTCAAGATATCTGATCTATATTGCAGAAAATAAAAGAGAGGAAAAGTATATCTCAGCGGCGTTGTAGGAAAGGTGTGATTTCGGCTCACGCAGTAGGAGCTCCAATGGCGCACCTCGCGCGTAGCTCCTGAACTGGCGGATGCTATCAGGGGGCAGTATGTGTATCGCTGGCCGGTATGTCGCCGGGTCGAATGGCCAAACACTGAGAGGCAAGAGCTCAACCTCAGGATTCGTATCCATCTCTAGGGGAGTCCCACCCCATGGAATATCGTCTGCCATCTTAAGAAGGGTGCAAAAGTGGTCGAGGGTATGGAAAATGGGTGAAAATGCAAAAAGTCAACCGAAAGTCAACCCCGAAGGGTGAAAAACGGAAGAAAATGACAAGGCTCCAAAGAGGGCACAGGAATCAAGGTAAACTCAGGGAAAACAAACCCCAAGTGGTGGAAATCGAGAATGGGGCCCCTAAATCGTGTTTCGTTCGGTTCAAAGTGTTTGGAACGAGGAGGTTTTCATGAATCAGAAGTTACGGGAGGCTCGAAAACGAGAGCAAAACTCGGATCGAATGGAGGAAAATCACCTAGAGAGAGAGAGAGAGCAAGGATTTTCAGCTTGGGGGAAGTGAGGATATAGGGTTTGGAACCCTATATTTAAAGACCCGAGGCAAAATGTCAAAATTGCCCCGAATCTGCCACTTTTGGCCGATCGGCCAAATTGTTAGCCGATCGGCTAAATATTTGGCCGATAAGCTCATCTGATGGCCGATGGATGGCCGATGGCCTCCCCTTGTGGTCGATGCACCTCTAATACCCTTGTTCGGGTCAGTTTTGTTGATTGGTACCCTAATCTTTCAAGAAAGTGCAAGAAAGTACACTTTTGAAGCTTAACCGGCCTTCGTGTTGACCTCGAATCGTGCCTTCCATGTGCGATACTCGATACGCATGAGGTGTAACCTTTTCCGTATCCTTTTGCATATGGCAAAATTCAAGAATTGCTCGAGAATTGCTTTTGAATATGTTGCATTACAATGTTTTGTCAGGTTTGTAATAAGCGCGCATTTGTTATACGTCTTTCGCTCTTGCATTGAGCATGCTTCATCTCGTTTTAAAGTTGCATCTCAACATCACGAATAACATGCCTTTACCATGCTTCCGTTGAACATACGCCTCTCTTTGTTGTCGCATCGCTACACATTGTATGCATTGTTGTGCATGCTTTGCTTACATGTGTTAATGCTTTTTCTCGCATTGTTACACATTGCTTGCATTGTCACGCATGCTTTACTTACTTGTGTTTATGCTTTTCCTCGCATTGTTACACATTGTATGCGTTGTCGCCCATGCTTTACTTACATGTGTTTATGCTTTTTCTCGCATTGTTACACATTGTATGCGTTGTCGCGCATGCTTTACTTACATGTGTTTATGCTTTTCCTCGCATTGTTACACATTGTATGTGTTGTCGCGCATGCTTTACTTACATGTGTTTATGCTTTTTCTCGCATTGTTACACATTGTATGCGTTGTCGCGCATGCTTTACTTACATGTGTTTATGTTTTTCCTCGCATTGTTACACATTGCTTGCGTTGTCGCGCATGCTTTACTTACATGTGTTTATGCACCTTGGCTTGCGTTTTCGCGCATGCCTCCTTCGCATTGTTATGCACATTGCTTACATTGTCACGCATGCTTTACTTACATGTGCTTATGCACCCCATGGCTCGCGTTGTCACGCATGCCATTCTTGCATCGTTATGCACCTTTTTATCCGCGTTGTCACGCACACTTAGGTTGCACTGTCATGCATCCTCCTTACTTGCGTTGTCACGCATAGTTTACTCGCATTATCATGCTTGTTTCAGTTACATTGTTATGCACCCCTTGCTTGCATTGTCGCGCATGCCCTACTTGCATTGTTATGCTCGTTCTAGTTGCATTGTCGTGCATCTTTTCACTCGCGTTGCTATGCACATTCTCATTCGCATTGTATATGTATGTGTTTATCTCATATTGAACTGATTTCTTGATCTAACGTTGAATGTGTGTTTCTACTATATTGTACCTATTGAATTTTTTTTGCAAGCACGATATTGTATGTACAGTTCATTTGAAGTTAGTGAAACCGGACGATATTGTATGTACGGTTCATTCAAGAGGAGTTTCGGTTTAGCTTGACTGCTACCCCCCCTCAACTCGCATTTGGCATGTGTTTGGACGTATCTCTCTCCTCTCGTGTTTGGCACGCGTTTGGATGACTACGTTTTCTTGCACAGTCCTTTCTTCTCCTGCGTGTGATACACTGAGAGATGTTATGTTTGAGATTCCCAGTATTCTCGGTAGTCGCTTCTAGTCTTCTCCGCGTGAGATGCAATGAGAATTGCATAATTTTCTTACATCCTTTCTGTTGGAATATGTAGGACTATTCTTTCTTATTCGCTTGCTTAAACTGTTATATTTATTTTTCATAAATGCTTCATTACAGCTCTCTTTGCATGATCATAAGTAATGTTCGGCATTGTGCATGTCATTTGCATCTTGCCCCTGCCTGTGGGCGCATATATTTGTTATCTTGTATGTTTATCTAAGTCTTCGGCCTTGTCGAAAATGGGTCGTCTCTGGGCTTTGACATTCACTCCCATCATCTTATGACTTTCTAGTTCTGTCAAAGAGGGGCAACTATAGACACCCCATTTTTGACCGTCCTCAAGACTTGGACGTCATCGTTTGAACACTCGATGATCATCCGTGCTCGTGTTCGTTTTGAGTTCCCGAAGGTTTCAGCTGCGCGCTTTGCCTTAGGATCTCTCAACTTGTTTGTTTTGTGCTTGGTTATGGACCAAGGACTTGTGGTTTTGCTCCTGAGCGAAGAGGGTGGCTTGTTGGCCATCCCTACAACCCATCGGCTAAGGCCTTGTGCCATCGGCCTTGTTTTCTTGCCATCGGCCATAAGTGTTGGCCGATCGGCACTCTTTTTGGTCGATTGGCCATATTTCTTGGCCGAGACCTTTCCACCTGCTTTTGCAGATATTTTTGTGCCAGCTGTGACAGCTGGTGGGCACAATTCTCATCGGATTGAATCGAGACTCAAGCTTGTTCAACAAGCTTGAGAATTGATTTTCTATAAGAAGGGAGGCCCCTCTCCCTTTCCAGAGGTTCTGAAAAGTTGATATACAAAAACATATATCACTCTTTCTCTATATTTTACCTCTCTCTCTCTCTCCATTTGCTCTTGTTTGTGCTCAAAAGTGTGATTTCTACATACTATAGCACACAAACACCTACTAGAACACCATCCTTTTGTTGCTGAGGTACTGAGGAGTTGGTTTTAGTGTCTTTGGGTTGGTTTAAACTTAGAAAAGCTGCTGGAGTTGTGTTCTTGAAGGTGTTCTTCAAGGGTGAGAAACTAACCTTTTAATCCCTTATTTTGGCTTAAGCTTTTATACCTATTTTCATGCTGATTTAAGCTTGACTTTCTACTGTAAAAAGTTCTGATTTTTCATGCTTGTGATGTTTGTTTAAGGTCACTTTTGTGTTGGGGGTAGTCTACCCCCTCTTAGGCCTTGTTTGGCCTTGTTTTGAACCATCCTTTTAAGCTATTGGGACCACCTTGTTTGAGCCTTCTCACCACTAAAATCCAGAGGACTTTCAGTGGTGGAAAGGTGGTTTTGAGGTCCCAAATAGTAGAGGGTCATCCCCTCTCCTTGTGTCTTGTATGCTAGTATAAATGGCTCATAACAGTAGCTTGTTTTCTTAGCATGTTTTGGTTCCATTTCAGCAACCTTTTGGTGTTATTTTAGCATGCTTCAACTCTGTCTTAAGTTGGTTTGATAGCATCTTGCATGCTTCACATACTTGTAGAGCAATCTTGCATGCTAGCATAACATTCATCTTGTGTTTGGACCATCATTCTTGCATGTTTTGGCTCAACTCAAAGAAGCTTTCCCTCATGTTTTACCATGCTTGAGCTCTGTTTGATGTTGTTTCAGTCATGCATGCATTGTTTTGTA